ACCGTCATAACTATCCGTGATCTAGCATTGAAAACTACATCAGCGTGTCGGCCGATTCTTCCTGTCTGGTGCACCCTTTTTTATCGCATTTTAAAAATGTCGCTCGCAAATGAGCCTAGACTAAGTGGTTGCATGACGCTTTTTCGCCGAGACGCCGTTAAGTTCCTGTCCCGGCTCCCGGCGTAGGCCATAGGCGTTAAGGGTTAAAATGGCCCTTCGCGCAGCGGGCTTTCGACTTTGTTCATTTAGCCAAACTTCATAGTTAAGAACGAGTACTCTGAATTACCTTCGGTCTGTCCGCGCGGCCATTATCGCAGGTCGGGCGTTTGGTCGACCGGGCAGCTCCCTAGCGTTAGGCGGTGACGTCACAAAGTCGCGCTGGCTTGAGCGGCGGCTTTGCATGGCAACGTCGGCTGCGTCGCTTGGAAAGCAGTGGTCACGCGGAAATGCTGTGGTCGGTCTCGCCTATTACCGTGAGGCGTGGCGTCAAGTCTCCATTGTCATGTGGCCTCGGTGCGCGCTATTATGTCGCGAGCGGGAAATATTCGAAGTGGTGTGCGAGCATTGGGCAAGAGTGAGCATCAAAGGCGGTTGTTTGGCAGCAAGATGCCATCCTGTGAGGCGGCCTCTTGCAAGAATGTTAAACGGCGCAATAAAGACACTTTAATTTTGTACATTCCCAAAAAAACGATCCAACTGTCCTGAAAACATGAGTGCACCGTTACTCTTGAACTATAAACATCGAGAATGCGTTAATCTGATCTGATCATTTTCAAGATCATGACTGATCCTGGCCATCCGGTTAAGACCAGTCCCGCACCCGATGTTAAGCCATGCCTTCGACAAGCGCAGCTCCTTCTATGCAACTGGACATCGTCGGCACGCCGAGGTAAGTATGCGTATGCTTAAAAGGAAAATTACAGTCTGTTTTATGCAGAAATCTTTCAACCCGATGTACAGTCCAATGCATGCAGAATCTATGCCGCTCTGTGCAGTTTGTATACTACAGTACGAGATTCAAACGAGACTTTCCAAACATAATCTTGTTTACAAAGTGGAGCCTGACTACCACACAGGCGGCACAGCCATCTATGCTACACGGGCGAAGGGGGTGGTGTCAGAGGCGTAGCCAGGGTTTGCGACGGGGGGGGGGGAGGGCAAGTTTGCACGAGCGAGTACCAGCCCCATTGTGACCACGTCTTGTGTGACACCATTGACACCACCTCTATGCACTGTGAACTGACTAACAAACCCCACAACCGCTAATAGGCACAGTACCTAGCGCATCAATGAGCTACCAATATTAGTTTGCCCCGGTGCCTTAAACAGTTCTTTCAGCTGCGTGCCGTACATGTTCGCCCGCCTATATGCGAGTCCTGTTACTGATGAACCACTTTTGGACTCTTCGTGTCACTGTTCACGCTAGTGTCTGAGATTTCAGACAAAAGCTATTTACCTGTTCACCACAGTTCGGGATTACATACAGTAATGTCATGGTAAAAAACTGCTGCTGTGCCTAAACCATAGATCCTCAGCCTCACGAGCAGAGACGAATGGATGGGAAGGGGGGGGGGGGGGCTCGGCGGGCCGCGCTGTTCTCGTAATTTTTGCGTCGGAAAACAGTAATGGCGGCGCCACCCCCCCCCCCCCCCCCCTGGGACTGCCGATGCACTGAAATGGGACCATGAAACGGGGCCATGACCGTTCCTCTTACCTGCTCGGATTATGTCACGCTGAACCACCAAGATATGTGGCTGTGTATCAAAACAAGCACGCGACAACGAAAGAAATGGCATGTCCAGGTCCAACACGTTTTGTTGTCGCACTGAGAAACGACACTGTTAACTTGCAATAGGGTCTGATTAATGCGGCTGTTAGGTGCGTGGAAATGACTGTGTTTCGTTGTGTCGCAGATCTAAGATCCAGCTGTGGTGGACATGGCAGGGCATGCGGACGACGTGGAGGCCGCCTACCAGCAAACAGACGCGAGGCGTCCAGGGCCCGCCCTGAACGAATTCGGCGAGGACGACGGGGTCAACGAGTCGGGCGAAGACAAGATCCATGGCGGTGACGGCGAGAGGACCGAAAATGACCCCCGCCGCGGCGACGAGATGGACGAGGTCAACATCCAGCACGGGGCGCTGACCCTCGTTGCCGGCTTCGTGGCGGCCAGGTGCAAACACCTCCATCCAAGTGTGGGGCTGTCGACCCGAGAAGCACCACCCAGCCGTGTGCCAGACAGCTGATACACGCGATTAGCCAAGGTGGTGTGATGGTACCCGTATCATGATGTTACTGGCGTGCGCCTGAGGCCGCCCCTGCTCGCGCCACCAGTGCTGCTGCACCTTGGTACGCCGCTGCCCCGACTGGCGGTGTACTGCCTGGGGCGCCGCCCGCCGGGGTCGGCGCCGCCCGCTCGCCTCGCGGGTTAATACAGTTGCCGTCTCGCAGCGCTCGTGTCTGGTCTGGGCAGACAGAACACGTAAGACTTGAATAGTACCGTTACCGGCCTGGACGAGCGTTGTCGAGGCTTTCGAGATCGTGTTCCAGCTAGTGATGGGCCAGGCGTGCACCGAGACATTGGTATCGTCGACCTCCTCACAAAGCTCCTGCTGAGAAAGTTCTGCGCTGGACAAGTGGATTGCTCAGAAGCTGGTGACAACGCACATCCATCTGCGCATCAGAGGGCTTAATCAGGCTACGGCTGAGCGGGTTGCCACCAGGCGCGCAACCATATAGGTGCCACAGCAGGTGGACAGCGCGCAGTAAACATCATTGCGCTTTTGTAAGCTCACGTAAGCGACCTTAAGTGAGCATCCTCTTGCCTTCTTTGTCTTGCATTGTTTGTGCGTCTGTCTGAGGCATAGACGGTTCCTTCGCCGATAAACGTTTGGGTTGTTTCAGACTGGTTATCATGTCGCATAACTCTAGATTTAAGCTAAAAAATCTATACTTGTTCTCCACCACCACCACTCCCTGTTTGCTTTGTGTCCTCGTCAAATGTGCACAATGAAGTGTATGCTGGGCGCAATAATCGTTTCAGTAAAATACGGGGAATTACGAGTCATACTTGTGTTCGATGAATTGGTTGCATGGCGTGACGAATATTTTCTTGATTAACGCCACGCGTCACGACCTTCGGAGGCTTCGCGGCATAGTTGACGCAATGTGCAATGTCTACAATGTCTTATGTTCTGCCAGGCAGCATACCACTTCCGTCGTCTCAACCTGCCTCCATCACACACCAGTACAACCCGGCGCGTCATGATGTATAGTGCTGAGGTTCAGCGCGACAGTTCGGATAAATGATTCTGGTGCCGGTCAGTTCCTCCTTTGGCTGTGGCTGGGCCTTGCGCAGGCTCGCCAGCCTGCATTTAAGCAGCTGTAGGCTGGCAAACTTTAATAAATCACCATAGACTCAATATTTGGCATCCTCAGCAAGTGAGAGTGCCATCGCACACAGGCTCCCGGTTCCTAGACCGATGTTCGCTGTTATACACCCAGCGTGGCAAAAAAATCCCCTTTTGTATTTCGTCATAGTACTTCTTGAAGCGCCCTGTAGCGATCACCAGATGCATTTCTTAGTAGGTACACCGGTGTAGCAAACGCGCAGATTATGCAGGCGGAGCGGTGATGCCGCTGCGACTTTGTGACGTCACTGTAGTAGTGAAGGGAAAGTGCCAGAAAAATCCCCGGATTTCCATACCTTGTTACATGGCCTTGAGTCTGTCCGGCAGAGGACCGGCGAAGGGGTTGTCCGCGGGAGCGATCTCGGCTTAGGCATGGCGGTCGGCGGCGCGCTGTGCGTTATGGTCGCCGTGCGCGCACGGGCGTGGATTTTGTTTCCCACCATTCACAGCTGACGCATCAACCCTTTCAGTCGCATCGCGAGTTTGTGCAACGCGCCGTTGCACTGCAAATTGCAGGACAAATTGCCAGATGCCGGCGCCCAATATGCGGCGACCCCAAACAGCTCGCGCAGGGCTGGAGGCGGCGGCGGATGGAACGGAGGAGCCGCCTGCCGCCGTGACAGCAAGTGCAGGGCGACTCCTGTCGCCAGCGCAGCGCGCCGCAGTGGGCGCAGATGACCTCCACCTGGCGCAGCTGCAGCTCGGGCGGCGCCACAAACGTGCCTCTGACGTAGTGCAGCATTGCCTGGCGGGCGGCGAGTTGCTGCCACGCCTCCTGCCGGCCAGCGGCAAGGCGGGCGGTGTTCCGCGCGCGCCACACCACACCGCATGTGCTACACCGCTCACACCGGCGCGATTTTTATTTAAGGTTTATATCTTTACTCTTTTCCCCAGTTTTACATATTTTGTGCCACATCTCTGCACCCAGGGCACGGGGCGGACTCCAGAGAAGCATGCATTGATGGGGAATCGAACGGACAATCACGTGGTATAGATGGTGTCGTCACGTGTGCGCGAGCCAGGAAAACTTATTTGGCCGCTACCGACCGTTTTTCACTGTACGATACAATACAATGTCGTTTAATGCAACGGCAGTGCGTACTGCCGTCATTCAAAGGCGGACAGTTGATGGAAGTGGCGAAAATCACCGGCCACATCCCACGATCAATCACCGATCCCGTGGAATAGGTTCGACTGTGCTTCAGAGAGCGCAGCCGCAATACGCTCTCTCCCGCCGGCGGCCGCCAGAAATCGCCGCCAGCTTCCGGGTTTTTTTTCACGTTTTGCGCGGTATCTAGGCCCCTGGATCAGCTAGAACCGTGACTTTAACTGCAAATAATAGATAATTAAATGTTCTACGTGCTGTCATTGTGCGCAGCGAAGCAAGCGCGCAAGCGCTTGTCTACACCAAAACAGTAAGGGCACCGGCAAATAATTCTGGGGAAACGTGGTGTGACATAATAACCCGATCAAGCATTACCCAATGGCAAAATATCGATAAGATATGTTTCAACGGACGGGGCCGTTGACACACTGACTACCCCGCCATTTCCGCCAGCGATCATGTGACTAGCATTCCGGCCGGAGCTCCTAGCCGTACTTCTTGGCATCGGTCTCACACGGCTCAAAGTCTGTCGTCGTGTCGCCAGGCGCTAGCGGCCTGTAACGGAGCTCGCGGATCACCTCTGAGCAAGCAGCCTGCACGCGCAGCACCTGCGCCAGTCTCGCCTCCGCCAGCCAGGCACGCGCCGTCGCGCCCAGAGAGCGGCTTGACCCCGACGTGGCGTCGTCCCCGCGGGCGGCGCTCTCGTGCACGAAGCGCTCCGTCAGGTCCGTGTAGCGCAGCCCCAGGCGCTGGAAGAGCGCGCGCGCCTCGCGCCGCGGTTCGCGCCGCCAAGTCTTCGTAGCGCAGCGCCACGAAGCGGCTGGGAAAGTCGCGCGCCAGCCTCGTGGCGGCGCTGTCGTCGGCGGCTAAGTCAGCGCAGATGGCGCGCGGGTCGACGCACGCGCCCGAGCACTGGTCGACGTGCTCAGCGCGAGCGTGCACGACAGCGCGCGGATCGCGGTACAGCCAGACGACGCGCACGTCGCGCGCGGTGTTGGCAAGCAGCCAGCGCGTGGCGGCCAGCTCCAGGCGCAGCGTCTTCACCAGGTGGACGGGGAAGGCACGGCAGGCGCGACCTACCAGGCGCAGGTCCTGCTGGCAGAGCTGCGGCCGCGGCAGCCGACGGCAGGCGCGCCACAACCGCTGGTTTCGCGCCAGCACGGCGGCGTCATCGGCCACCAGGCGCGCGTAGAGCGGCAGGCGGCGGTAGTCGCAATCGGCGAGCCGACTCAGCACGCGCGCCGCCTGCCAGCTGGCTTGCGAACCGGGAGTTGGGCGCTGTGCGCCGCGCGCCAGCAGAGGCTCGTGGTGGTAGAATACGCCCGGGTGGCTGGCCAGCAGCTCGGCCAGGTAGGTGGAGCCACTGCGCCAGGTGGAGACGAGTAGCAGGACCAGAGGGCGCGAGACGCGCGCCGGCGTCGTCGGCAGGCCGGCGAAGCCGCAGCTCGGCGCCAACGTCTGCATGCACGCGAGCCACCAGCTGCTTGATCACGTACTCATCTGCGGGTGCTATCTGCCGCTCCTTCGACACTGTGAGCTCCTCACCGGTTCCTGAAACACTTATTCCTCCTGGTCCACCTCCTAATCCAGCCCCTGCTCTCGGCCCTCCTGTAGATTCTGGTTCATCTTCAGCTTCTGGTCCGCCTCCGAATCCTAACCCAGCCCCTGTTACTAGTCCACCTCCCGCCTCCGGCTTATATCCTGCTTTTGACTCAGGTTCGGTTCCGACTGGGTTGACGGGCACCTTCCTGACAACGATATCGCGCCCGACGTTGTCTCCATTTTCATATGCAGCTTCCCCTGCATGTAATGCGTGTTCGACAACTCCAGGCTCAAACCCAGCATCGTGCTTCCCTATTCCAGATTTCTGAAGCATTTCCCAAGGATTAAACGCTTTCTTCTTGCTCTTTTTAGGTTTCCGTCTTTTCCCTTTTGAAGTATTTTGTTTCTTCGGACGTTGCCTGCCCGGTGCGTCATCCCCGCTGTCCACGACACCCACCTGCTTCGAATGCACGCTGTCCCCTCCTGACTTCCGTGCAGTCCACTTTTCGACTTTCCGCCGCGACGGACCCTGCGCGGGCTCCCGAAACATCCGCCGGGGGTGTGTGGGCGGGTCCGTCCGCATCTCGGTCTGGTATCGGACCGTTGTAAGCTGAGGTCGGCTCCTGTTCGGTCAGCCCTGGCTGGCGCGAGTCCATGCTAGTAACACCAAAAGGCGCGTCGGGCGGGGCCTCCTCGCCAGCTGAACTCGCCCCTGAGCGGGCGTCATCTTCGTCAGCGTAAGCCTCTGTGAGGTCAGAACTGACCGTGTCCGTGGGTGGCCTTTGTCGCCGCTCGTACTCCTGCGTGATGTGAGGCTGCTGGACTGATGGGAGCTGCATCTGGTTCTGTTTCTTCCCTGTGCTCCATTCTGTACCGCTTTCGTGGTGTCGGCTTGAGTTCGAGTCAGCCTTGGGCTCCGGTCGTTTTAGCCTCTGGAACTTCCTCATCTCGTGATGCATGACCAGTGGGATCTTTCTTAGACGCCAACTGCTCGCTGGTTCCCGCAGCTGCTTATATTTCGGCTTCTTCCATATCGTTGTGGGCATCACCGATCCTGCAATGTCAGGCGTGATGTCATCCTTGATCAATTAAACGGTCCCTGTGTGGCACCTGGAAACCAGCACTGACGGCACAACGTGTAGCGCGCTACAGGTCTTAGCGTCATCACTAGCGTGAACATCTTGCAGATAACTTTTGTCAGCGACATATAGTCAGCAGAGCATTCTATAATTTCCTACGTACGTCTGTTACAAATTTGACAGCAAACAGCGCTTTTCGTCGCAGATAGGCTTTCAGACAATCTTTCGGCGCGACCTGGCTGAAAGGTACTGTTGCACTAGCGTGACCTGGGGCTCATCTTTGACTCCGTTCACTGCTGTGACCGGGGTGCCCTGAGCAGAGCCAACCATCTACATGCGTGATATGTTTCTGTGGCTGATCATACATCAACATGACCTCCTCCATCTACTCCCAGCTTAAACAGGACTTTGCGATATGCGGGGAAGTCAATGATTTCATTTGCGATTTTGGCCGGACGTGTTCCGCGGATTACGGCAGGTTGCGGCTGTGAAAGGTTTGAATTCAGCGCTGTGACACCAGAGCCTCAACAATCATGTCGAACAAGCGGAAGAGACAAGGGGCCTGTTCGTTGTCGCTGGACCGACCATGAAAAAGAGGGCACCCATGATAAAATGCCCTGGTTGCATCGGTACACTCATGCTTTTAATGACACTGCCATCGCCTCCCTCGAATGGCGTTAATAATTGATACGTTAATTGTTTCTTCCAAAGGCACTCAACCTACACCGACCGGAAAATGGCACTATAGCTTCGGTGACCGGGACTTAAAGGATGGATCCCTTTAATATTTCTGTTCGGTACCACGAAGTACCAACAACTGCGGCCAGAATGCTGATGACCTCAGATAGGTCCTTATCGCAGGCTGTGTATACGTCGACAATGCTTACCTAAGTCCGATACTGGTGTGGTGGCGAATAGGTGAGAGATGACAGCTGCTCCTGCGATCAGGAGCACTGCGGCACAGCTGCCTCGTTTGATGAATTTCATCGGCTAAAAGGGATAAAAACAGCTGTCAGCCTTTTTTCTTTGCAAGCCTCAGACGCGATTCATGAGTTACATTTTGATTATTATGACATGAATGTTATGATACGAGTAGGACACAAATGAACAAGAGTCACAGCCGGTCAGACATGTCACACGTACAAGACGCAGAAAGGCACGCGTTTGCCTCTAGATATATTGAAAGCCCAGCAGGTGAGTAGCGACTGCTGGCCTACCAGGTGACGCCCAACACAACATCGATAAGAAATTCTGTGGCCCGTAGTATTTAAACAGCATCAAGAAAGCGTTACCCACGCAGGAGCGCTCTACGCAACAGCAGATACAACTTTATCACCAAAGCACCGTCACCGCGGCAGTTATGAAGTCAACACGGCGCCCACGGTGGCAACAGCTGAAGCAGGTTCTTACCGGTCGGCTTGCCGCCGATCCTGTTCTCAAGCGTATCATCCTAACACCAGCCGACGCGCCCTTCAACCGACTCGTCACCGCTGGTGGTGCGGTCCGGCGCCGAGTTGAGGGTCCCGGTCGCGAGCCGCCGCGACACCCACAGGCGCTGGTGCCGAGGGTCGCGTCACACGAGCCCCACGGACGTGACGAGGTCACTGGGGCTGACGAGCCGGCGGCGCCGGCGTCGCCCGCAGCTGGGAGCGTTCGCTTCCCACGCCGGTGGAGTATTCATGGGCTCCGATGGCGCGCCGCGACAGGGCGGTCACGGCAGGTCGATGCAAGCTCAGGGACCGTGTGCTGATCGCCGGATGCGTGCCCGGTAGGAAATGTTGATGTCAGCAGCATGCCGCAGGGGGAGTGGGAGGATAGGTGTGTGTCCGTGTCCCAATGAGCTTCAGACGCTGAAGGACAGCAGAGGTAGTAGTGTTTGTGAAGGTGTTCGGCTCATTTTGATTTCTAGCCACAGGTTATCATGGAACACTCACCGTGTCCATAGAAAACTGTGATGATGCACGATGCTTAGCATTCTTATCTTGTCGGAAATTTGTCACATGTATTTTCACCACAATCAGTTATAACTTAACCTATCGCAAATTTTATCCAAGACGTAGATGCAAACAAGAAACGAACACATTTTATCCCGATCAACAGTGGTGTAAAAGAAGGGTACGGGGAGGGGGCAGCATTGCAACCAGAATTTGCGACGAAATGCGTTTACCATGATTTGCGGCGGGGGGATGGGGGCAGATGTCTATTTTTTACGCGCGGGTCACAGGCTCATTAACCATTTTTACGCACTGCAAGTAGACCACCAGACCCCACAAACGCTAAAAGGTACAGCACCTAGCGTATTAATGAGCTATTCATGTTAGCCTGTCTTGGTGCCTTCCGCATTTGCTTCCGCTACGTTCCGTCCAGATTCGCTCAGCTATCCACTAGACTTGCTACCAAATTACGGCTGTTGGTCTTTACATGTCGATGCCCATCGTAGTGTCTCTGGAATTTGCCACAAAACAGTCATCTGGTCGCCAGATTCCGGAATTATGTTCAGTAGAGATGCGATAAAGAACGCGCACTAACTTGACGGGAAGGGGCTAAAAACCCATGAGCACCCTTCCCCTTGGCTACGCCACTGGGGGCGGGGAAGGGGTCAAGGGCAAATCACTTTTCTATTTAAGTTGGTGCACAGCCCTGTTAGTGCGGAGGTAATTTTCTTGATCAACTGGAGGTAGGTTTAAAACCGCGCAATGCGGTTCTGGTATCACGACGCACAGGACAGCGTTAGTTAATGTGAATGTTTCACCTTTCCTTTACATGACGTCGTAAGCTGAGACAGTAATATTTTAGTACCTGAAAGTTGAGTACGAGTGCGCATCTTATTAGAACATGGTCCACGCCATTGCATGTTATTGCTTCAGGCCAAAATTGATACACGATGTAAATGTCTCGATGTTTTGGTTATGTGCGCACACATTGTATACAGCATAACTTTCATAAGTTACAACAGACGATCATCGGTATTTTTCGGCCGCATGCCCACTCAGCTTGAACGGAGCACGTGCAATTGCACATTTAGTGTGCGGAGGAGGACGAAATACGACATTTTGGAAGTTGCAACCTTCCATTGTACTTACCATGCCTTTCACGCACCAGGTAAGCAAGCTTCTGATGAAAATATTACCTCAATTACCCTGTGAGGTTCGTGCGCTAAGCTACGCTAGGTAAGAATAAGAATTTCCGTGTCCTGTCAGCTGCATCTCACACTGCGTGCGTAAATTTGTCATGATGATGATAATAATGGTGATATTTGGGTTTAGGAGTGCTTCGAATGCAACGGTCAAATGCGACTGTGGTAAACATGTCATATCCGTGCACTCTGCAATAATTCGAGCAATGACGCACGCCTTTCTTTGGAGTACTTACTGCAAGTTGGCGCTACGTCGATGCAAGAGAGGCCGTTACTCATTTCAGTCAGGCAATAGTTTTGATTTCGTGCAATATAGCTCACAGCAAATGGTCCGGAGAATTGTTCGTCGATTGCTGGCGAATTTTGTGATGAAGGAGAACTGTCTAAATCACCGTACTGTTCTGTACGAGATTTATAGCTGGCGTTAATAGATTGCATCACGAGGGCGCTTCGGGCAACTAGACAGAAAATTGCACTTTTTAAGCTGCCTTTGTCTGCGGCATTTTCCTGTTGTGAGACACAAACACGGATATTGATTTGAAACTTCATCGCGCTCCATTTGCTCAGGTTAGGGCAAATGGTTCTGGTTTTATATCAGAACCTGGTTCTGGTTCAGGTATTATTTGTTC